ATATAAACTTGCTTTGTCACTTTTTCCTCATTCATTCTTTCTACATGACCAAACCATCGAAGCATTCCTTTCTTAATCCTGGTCACAACATCATCTTGCATACCACATTTATCACTTATTACGCAATTTTTCACCCTGTCATTCAGATTCAACCCTAGCATACTCCTTAAAGACCGCATTTCTACAGCATTTATTCTACTTTCATGCTTCTTCTGCCACACCCAACTTTCACTACCATACATTAAAGTAGGGACTAACACAGCATTACGAATTACCATACGTGCCTTTTTTGACACATTCTGATTCTTCATAATAGAGTGTAGTGCCCCATTCACTCTATTCCCTGCATTTACTCGTCGTTCTATATCCTTATCATATCTACCATCCCTGCTAAATACACATCCCAAATATACGAACTCATCCACTTGTTTTTACCGTTTTGCTTTCTTCTCTTTCAAAAACCATCACTTTCGTCTTACTTGCGTTCACTTTCTTCCCCCCTTTCTTTTAATGCCCAGTTCATTAATGTAACCATCATTTGCAACTCAGCCGCCGATGACGCAAATATGACTTGATCATCGATACAAAAGGAATGAGGTTAACTATTCTTAACCCACATTCTTCATCTTTAAAAGTTTGCAAACACCTGTCCATAAATAGGTTGAACAGTCAAGGGGAAGCTACACAGCCCTGTCTGACACCTTTTTGGATGCCAAACCAGTCCGAGTAGACCCCATTGATCCTGACACAAGCACTAGAGTCCCTATAAAGAGACCTTAATGCCTGTATCAAACCAGCGCTCAATCCATATGAGTTCAGTGTTTGCCACAACACAGTCCTGTCCACTCTGTCACAAAAAATATGCATTATATTGGAGACTAAAATTACCCAAATGTTTTATAGCGAATCTATTGTGCAAAAGCGTTTGGTACCGTGATAGAACGTCCGCTTTGCCATTAAACTCATATTAGTTCTTTGACAAGAATGCCATAGGAGCTACAGTTCCGCAAATAATGGATGCGGGCAAACATGGACGAAAATAAAGTCACGAAAGTCAGTCAAGAAACATTTGTCAGTCATCGAAATTTCAAATTACTTGAAATTTGATATAAATAAGATTGAATTTACAATCGCAACACAATTCCATAATCGGCTAGACTAGACCATCCTTAGAAATTGAGAAGTATAAATACTATACAATTTTTTAATGAAAATTAACATAATTGCAAATAAGCGGGCAAAATTGGACGGTTTGACGGTATTGAAAATGGTCCAAATTAGAAAGAGTACGACGAGCATGTATGCGTAGGTATATGGATGCGGAGGAGGCGAGAGAGGTATGTCAGGATCGTGCCAAATGGAAGTCTGTAGTCTCTGCCTACCCCTCTGGGTGACAGGAGTGAGTGTTTATATTTTATGTTCTTTATATGTATGTATATTATAATACATACATATAAAGAACATAAAACGTAAAAAAAAATCAATTATAATTTATATTATACTCGTAATATAATTTCAATTATAATTCGGATGTGTGTATGTTTTACATATGTTCGGGCATAACTTCTTTTGTCTATGAACTGATTTTAATAACTCTTCCTATTAAATAGGTTCAGGGGTGCTCCCAAATAAATAAATAAAAAAACTTCACTAAGGGGTGGAAAAGAGTGGATGAAGATTTTAATATAACTATAAGGACGATACTGTATTATTTCAAACTTGTGGTATTCCTTAGTCCAAAATGATAAAACAATGCTCAAGTTTAAATACAAAAAACCGACTTTAAATACTAAAAATAATAAAACAACTTCCACTTAATAGTGATAGGAATCGGGGCAACCCACTTCAGAAGCTATTGTGGGAATTATTTACACTTTATGGTTTTTGAAGTCGATTTTTACTTTTTTAATAATTGTTTATTGAGAGCATTAGTAAATTTAGCACAGCATGACCATAATAATAAAAACCTAGCAATGAAGACGCTTATTCTGGACTTCATTTGACTAAAAACTATATAAAAATATTAAAGTTACAGCGAACATATATTTCATTGCCGAGATAAGGCCTTTATTAATCTGAAATTATTTTAGAACAGATTAATCTGTACAATCTATCAGTACGTATCGCATAGTTTAAGCATGTCCTTGAAATATTTTATTATTTCTAAAAATACAAATTTCCTCCGTCAAGCACCTGCAAATCAAGACTTAAAATTGCAATCAACAAAGTCATTGTGCAGGCGAAGATCGATCCTAGGTTGTACGCGTACTGTGTAATTTAAAGTGAAAGCTTAGCCCTTGTGCTACCACGACTTATCACATACACGGCGGTGAAGTAACACATCATGAGGAAACCTGCAAGGGAAGCTTTGAAGCCTTGCACTTACTTGCTCTTTGCACTTACTTTAACAATATTATTAAAAAGTTAAACGTGGTAGAGCGACGCTGCAATATATGGTTGTAGCACGAATAGGTCGGCTCGACCGGGGAAGGACCACACTCTCACATAATACCAGCGTAAACTAACAACTTAATGCTGCTGTTATTTATATGGTGAGTCCAGAGAAGCGGAGACCCATGTTACTGGACGAGGCATTCCATCGTAGTCCTTAGGGATAAAAACGCATCTGCATTTTGATTCTTAACAGTAGATAAATGTAGATGTCTATGGGCTACAGCATCCACTTACCATCAGGTGCACTGTGTGCTCATTTATCACCCCATTCTATTAGCAAAAAAATCATTGGTGAGGTGATCGCACTCGGCTTGCTGGTGCCGAAACATTTTAATGGACAATAAATTTAAATTGTATATAATATACACAATTATAAATTTTAATCAATCACATAATGAGCACATAACGACGATCGAGCTATGATACATGAATATAATAATCATTTATGGTATTTTTTACATTTATTAAATTAGATAAAATTTCTGTAATCATAGCATTTTACCTACGATACTCACCTTGGAGATTTGAAAAGACTTACCATTTATAATCTACAAAACTGAAGCATTTTATAAACTATATAACTCTATTAAAATATGAAAACGTAGAATGCTAAGAAAAAAATTATTTCTATTTTTATCCATCATCTTTAATTTTTATTCCGTTGAATTACTACTTAATTTATGCGATAAAACAAAAACGGTAAGTGCGGTAATAGGAGCGTATAACCTATATCTAAAATGGTAAAAAAAAGTTTACTTTGAACAACCCTTTGGTGATGTCTTTCAAAATTTAATCATATGATGATCGTATAGTTATCAAAAAAACGTTTAGACCAAACCTGAATATCTGATACTATTTCATATTTATTAGCTTAATTTATTGGACGTGGCTAACCTAATTATTATGAAATGAAATAAAATTAAATGTATTCATTCCTACGACATAAGAAAATAAAATTTCATTTTCAATTATCATTATTATTTCAAAATCTACTACAGTTTCGAAATGAAGATCTCTTGATCATACAAGAAACCGCAGGATCCTTATTTTTGACATTTTTTCAAAAGTCAATTTTACAAAGCATAGTACATACAGAACGGAAAACGATAATGGTCTCATGGGTAACTAAAGTCCTATGTTCTATGGTGTACTTAAAAAAATGGTGATAAAAAATTTAGAGCTTATCAATTAATAGCAAACGCTGACGGATCAGCCCCCACAAGCATCACTTGTTCACAAATATAACCCATATGGCAGCCATCGCTCTCCTCGACAAACCCAAAATCTAAGTCGAATGGAAGAATGAAATCATATACTTTACGACATAAGTATAAAGAATTATTTACTTAATGAAAGCAACACTAACATTGAAATAATACTAATTTTTACGGAATATGGTTATTAATTAATATCTAAAGTATTAAAAAGTAAGTACTTATAACATTAAAAAACAATAGAATTAAACTTATATAAAAAGAGAGCAAAGAGAAAAATAATTTTTTCCATAAACTAACCACGAAATGGACCGTCCTCATTATGCAATGATTTTTAATCTGTGTCGGCCGGATCTCTATTATTAGGTTATTTATTAAGTTGTAATCTAATAAGCATCGCACAAAGCTGCCATGTTTATTTTCTTGATCCTAAAATTGATTATATCATAAAGTGTGCGTTCCTTTTTATGCAACACAACCATTTCATGATAATATAGTCAATTATTATTGACCATATCGTATGTCAACGTTTGTCGATTTGTCCCTTACGTGTGGTCATTGATTTGTATATAAATTTCATGAAATGCCATTTCGCGAAATGGTCAATTACTTAATGATATTGATATGAAAAATACAAAATGATTACATTCTGCAGAATTATCTCCTTATTTTAATTTATTTATTAAAGGCTAGAAATTTCTTGTGTCTTACATACTTTGGTCAGAAGGAAAAATCCCCAGAAACAATAACGTTTATTTTATGACGTATTATAGTTCCTGTTCCGTGCGGTAATCGAACTCGCTCCTCCTAACGCTACAACCAAATGGTTGGCTATTGCGCTGTCATATCGTTGATATTGAACGAGCATGACGCGGAGTAAAGCAGATATTTATTCTCATTGTAATTTATTTTTATTTTATTCAATCACATACATCTGCTGACATATGAAATATTATAAGATATTAATTAGGTTAGAGTAAGTGGATAACAACAAGGTGACGACCCGAATGCCGCAAAAGAATTAAATTGTGACCCACTTTAAAACATTGGCAATGTAACCAGGACATTGAGTCATCATTATATTTATGTTCAGTTTTTCCAAATTTGGTATGTAACTATAATTTAAAGGGATATTTTAAATAATAAAAATGATCCAGTAATAAAGGAGAAAACAAAATTAAGAGCAAGCGAGATTTTCACGAATGCCTGAACACGATCTTGCGTGCGTATAAATATATGCGGAATTCATTTTCATTATCAGTCTATTTTCTAATTGTGTGAAAGAGTGACGCGATATTGAGACATACCTAAATTTACACAGCTTCAGGAAATATGAAGCTGGTAAGTGAGAGTTCTGTGTGATAGTGCTGTTTTTTATTTTAATCCGATATAATTGTCATCATCAACAATCAGGCATTTAACAAGTATACTTTTGTTTCAGCTATACTTTTTTATTTATTTAAATTTGATTACTGATTTAAGTGGAGAAAAGCAACAAGGGCAAAATTCTTTTCTACCTAAGTATTCTATGCCAAATTCAATGTTCGTGTCAGATAGTCCTGTTTATTTACCACCAGAATTCTATAAATCTAACTCACAGTTATCTCAAAATAATTTGAATAAAGTCCAATTTAAACTGCCCTCGTCATATATCACAAACATACCAAATGTTTATACTACTCCATATGGGATCATATTAACTTCTACGATGAATTATGATGATAAATTTGATATCGACAACGCTAAAGAAGGTGTTAAAATTAATATTTCGTCGCCAATGCTTTCTTCCCAATTTTTAGATGACCAAACTAACAAATCAAATTATATACAAGAAGCAGAGAAAAGGACAGTTAAAGACATTCCAAGTGTGATGAATTTCAATCATCCAGTTGAAGTCAGAATTGATACGAAACTGCCAAGACAATTCTCGATATTTAAAGAATCCACAAGCCTGCAAAATCAAAAGCCAGCTAGTCGAAGCGTGTCAGTCTCAGCAGAAAACGGAATAAACCAAGAACTTGAACAAAAGGCATCATATCGTAATGAACACTTTGTTTCACCTCCAAACTCCAAATTTTTACATTCCACGACGGAAACAGCAATACCTATACTTCGACTATCCAACGAGATGGATTTAGATGGAAGCTTCAGTTATGAGTAAGTAATCACTTTGTAATATCTGTATTTACAATATCTATCAAGACATGGCTCAGGAGGTAAGTGGAGTCTACCGGTAGCAATTATTCCTGTGTCGAAACTATAAGTACCGAAATATATCGACTGTCCTTTCCGCCCCTCGTATCTCTTTCGTCTATCTGTCAAAATTCAAGTGGGCTGGGCATGCTCATTTCAGATGTGCATTGGTAATTGTGGCGAGAGAGGAGTCCTCTCCCTATACCGCCGTAATCGAGGTGGAAACATGGATAAAGGGATGGGTTTGAAGAGTTTTACCTACTACCGTGGAGTAATGATGAAAGAATATCCCTCGTAACCTCGTCCCGTGGGTTTCGTAAGAGGCGACAGAGGTAAACAAACCAGGGGATGGGCAGCAGCTTCTTCCTAAGCTACAGTTACCAATCAGCCTGTAAAGCGTGGCGACTATGTCAAATACCCCCTTAAAAGGCAATATATGTGGAGGCTTATCAGTATACTTTGATAGACTGTAATGGATGGATGGATTTACCTAGGGCATAGGGAATAGACATATTTTTTTGAAATAAGTAAGTTTATATCATATCTAAATGACGATAAGATAGTAAGGACGCTAATGAAAAGTCTAATTCCCTTTTCTATCTCGCAGGGCCTTAGGAGCTGATCAAACTCACTATGTACAGCACAGCCGTATGGAAAATTTAGGTACAGACAAAGAGGCTCAAATAGTTGAAGGTTCATATTCATATGTTGGCGATAATGGACACACATATACTGTGCATTATATTGCTGATTCGAATGGATTTCGAGCTACTGGTGATCACTTGCCAGTAGCACCGCCGATTCCAGAGATAATACAAAGGTATTTTAAAAATTTATATGGTTGCTTGAATGATTTACTTTTACATCAAAATGAAGCACACGATAATTGACTCGTGCACTGTTTAGTTATACCATTCTAAGGGTATGGTTCCTTCTATCAGCACTACTAGTGTTGATATCTAATGATGACAATACCGATATAGAGGTGGAGAAATAAAGAAAGTAGTTTTTCTTTCAAGGCATTTCACCCGTTGCCTCGTTGTCTCGTTGCCTCGGAATCCTCGGCATCGACGTATCGAATGACGTTTAGTTCTGCAGCTACATGGAATGGGAAGTTCAAATTGGCCAGCTTGGCGTGTTTTGTAGAGCGTGACAGTATTTCATGCTGGCACACCACTTACAACTTGACAGGCGCGGGTAGGGCCTCATGAGAAATACTGTTCTCATCTCTGGGCCGATTGCATGTTTTGCATCTTCTATCGTATCACTGAGTGTGCTTAGATGAATTATTTGGACTAATTCTAGCCACTAAATTTCACCATCGCACATCGCAACAAAACTCGCGACATCCATCTGTATGATGGGCGGTCCACCACTGTGCGATTCACTAGAAGTTTTCTTCCTCGCACAATTTCTTTGTGGAATCGACTACAACCAGCTATTTTTCCGGACCGAAATAACTTAAGGACCTTCAAAAAAGGAACCTACTTTTAAGTCATATGTAATTCCCCTGATTTTGCAGTTGTTTAATGGCGGTGGTAGTCACCTACCATCAGGTGAGTCGCATGCTCATTTTCCCCCTCTTATATAAAAAATAGTATTTCTGTTATTTTGTATGTCATTTTTGCACACAATATTCACACTTTATGTTACCGAAAAGCGATCGATCATGATGCACTTAGAACTTAGAGTAATATTATATTATAAAGATATTTTTGTTATAAAGTCGATATTATTTTATTATAATTGTTCTGTATTTGTTGTATGACGTCATAAAAACGATATGGTTTATATATCTTTGTAACTATTGCATTCAAAATCAGATAACAAAACGTTAACGTTTTAAATTTTTAAATATTTTGTTTATTAATTTGAAAATAAAACTCTTGAAAGTTAATTTACATGCACCATATTATTCTATATATTATATATGGTAACATCATTAAATAAGTTATTATTGAATATAACAAATGCTAAAATTATAATAATTTTATTTATAGATCAATTCAATATAATCTTGCAGAAGAAGCCAAAAACCCGCCATCCCTTAACGATTTTAATGATTATGGAAGCGATAACACTGAAAAAAACAGTGAAAACAACCAAAGAGCTTCCTTATCATCGCAAAGGAACTTATTCACTGGACGGACCCCAGAAGCTTTTTCATTGGGGAATTCTCAAGGACTGAATTCTCAAAACAACTTAACATCTGTCGCAAGTTTTAATGAGCCTTTAAAAGCAGACTTTGATTTTTCTGAAGAGAAAATAAAAAGAAATTTTAATAATGATCTGTTGGAACCCCAAATTACTTTTCTAGCTTCACAAGGCGCTCATTCACCTTCTTTAAATACACCTCAAAAATCAACAATGCCACAGTTGATAAATTACGAGGCAAGACAAAATGAATCTGAACAGGAACATGCTAAAGCTTTATGGAGAGGGCCATATGATTTAAATAGTAATATCGGTAGTCAAAATCCATCCAAAGACTCAATATCAAGGTCTTCCGGTGAAGGAGAGGATATAATAATTGACTTTAGTGATATGACACCAGAGCAATACACAACAATGATAAGGAACCAACTAACACAAAGTTCACAAACTGATTCAAATAATGACCTAATTACCAAACGACAATCAGAAAATGCATATGATTATTATAATAATAATGTATCTGACGACAGTTTAAAATTAAACAACAATAATATCGAGAATAACAACTATAATAGTAATAATTATAATTATTTATCGACTTTGCAACCGGATAACAAAATCATATTAAGTACCCCCAATCAATCCCGAACACAATCAGATATTAATAAGGATGTGCATCATCCTTACTATAGTGAAAAACATTACGCCGATCTAACGACCAAATCTACAGAAAAAGTATTTGTATCAAATGATCCTATTAGATACATAACACCTACACCTGAATCTATGCCTCAAGCAATTGATTTTTTAAACACTTCTTTTGAACCGAAAAAGTATGTGTTATTCACCAGTAATAAAACGAAAGATAATACACATTTAGAAAATAAATATGTTCCATCCACTACTTTTAAATCTTATGCTAACTTTTCGAATTATAATGAAAGAAACAATAAATTAAAAGAAAGTTCTATTAATGAAATACGAGCTACGAATAATATAATGCCCACAGATTATAATAATTTAATTAAATATAAAGAATTCAAGCCATTATTAGATACACACAACCAGGATAAGACAATACAGCAGAAGAAAAAGGAACAAGAAGCTACTAATCTTGAAAGTAATATATATGATGAAATAAGAAACAATATTTTCCTTAAAAATCTTTTTAAGTCAGAGAGCAATAATCCACAAAAAGGTGACAATAAACAATCACAACCTGACATCAATACAAAAATTGCATCATACGCAAACACACCTAATTCACCAAAATTTGTTAATGAATTGAAATTTTATAATGAACAGCTTGTTAAGAACAAGCCATTTGACATATCCGACGTTCTTAACTTTATGTCCAATAAAAATATCTTCGAATCAAATAAATTAAAAAATATAAGTAAGTCGTCGCTTAATACGAATGGTTTTAGTCAAGCTACAGATTCTACTTATAACACTAAAAGTGAAGAGAATAATTTTTTATTTAATGAAACAACTTCCAAAAATTTAAATCATCACATTCATCCACATAACCAAGAATTACGTGGCATATTAAAAAACTATAAAGTTTTACATCGCAATAACATAAAATCTACCAATTTAGAAAAAAACAGTAAATTGCAAAGTGCATCTCAAATACAAAACTTAGATTCGTTTAAACTACCACCTTTAGGTCGAGCAGGCCCGTCGATGAAAAGCTATCAGCCTCCTACTTATTTTTACAAATAATAATGAATTAAGGTATCAAAATAGTAAATCGTTAATTGAAATAAGTACATTGTAAAAAGTTGTAAAATTGCATTTACTAGTGTTAATAAAATATGAAAATATATGCCTACATACATAACGACATTTTAATTCCTTTATAAATTATCTCCCATAAATTCTATTTAAAGTGTAAATCAAAGAAAATTATTATATCGTGTGAAAGTACCCATATCAGAATAGCGTGACCAAGTTTGTTACTATCTTATTTGAAAGCGTGACGCGCAAACTGCACTTATAACCATATAAGTTTATAAGAAAACATTCATTTTGTTCACCCTTATGTTTCATTTAGCCCCGTTTGTTGATAAGTAGGATGGACTATATAAAGACTATATTTTGAGTAAAAAATGTAACTATATATTACATCGGTCAGTGCTTGGGAATCATGGAAATGTGAATGACGATGAAAATAAGAGTCCGAGAGCGTGGCCACAAGACGTGATTGGCAAGAAGGTGGTAAAGGCGTTGTATTATGATAAAAATCCGTGACATGAAACATGTCGACGTCAGAGCGTCAACGCAACCAACTTATCACTAATAGATCAGATTTAGCACTTCTTTGTCACAGCACAGTGGTTTTTAGTACCACCACGTGGCTTTTGCGGTATTATAATGTGAAGCTAATAAACGCATCGTGTTTAATAGCAATAAGCATAAATATACAAAATTTTAATATTGTATTCAGGTTTTAATTGTTCCAAAACATTGCTACGTATGATAAAGATAAGATTTAAAAAAACCTAATCATAAACGTGTTAAAACTTGCCAAAAGTTCACACATAATGTAAAGTGTATTATCTAGATTCTAGATGCTTAGTCATATTTTTTTAGAGCATATCAAATCAGCAAGGTTTGCTCAAACATACCCTGTAATTTGGATAGACTGGCGGCGCGACGCAATCAGGCGTGTATATTGTGTTTGCTCACAAACTCATATTTTATCGTTATAACTATAGATATATTTAAGTCTCCTTATTTGTTGACAGTAACATTATTCAATTATAGTTTTTTTTTTGTGAAAATATAACGACACTTCTTGATCACTCACACACTTCAATACTAATTGTTGTACGGTAAAAGTAAAAAAGATAAAGTTTATACCGCAACTTTATACAGTTAACTTTTGCAACGTGAAGTGGCAGATTCAACAGCGTAGCTGATCGCTTGTCCATAATGACAATAATGGTAAATTTATCAAACAACCGAAGGAGCCCATTCTGTCGGATTTTGACTGACTTTGACTGTTGGCTTTAGCATGGCTGATGAGGAAGGTTAAGAAAAAATTTATCCAACTTTCCCGAGTTACCGAACTTCACATGTCTCACGAAATAATTTCAGTTTCTACGGTTGCAGGTTTCCCCTCAAAAATGAGACCGAGCCCAGCGGAGGTATATAAACTGTTACTTTTACTATCGTATTAAGTACTCTTCGGTCATATCTATTAAAGTTTTTAACTAATACGTGTAGGCGAATATAACATGGTAGAGCCACGCTGCAGCTATATTATGGTTGTAGCAAGAAAAGGGTCAGCTCGACTGGACTTGACCGACCTCGACCGGGACCACACTCTTACAGAATACCAGCGTAAAATAGCAGCTTGATGCTGCTGTGTTTCGTATGGTGAGTGTAGAGAACCGGAGATCCATTTTACTTGAATTGAGGCATTCTATCTTAGTCCTCAGGGGTCACAACGCATCTGCATTTTGATTCCTAATCAAGGTTAAATGTAGAAGTCTATGGGCCACAGAATTCACTGACCATCAGGTGGGCTGTGTGCTCGTTTGTCACCCTAATTCTTTTTAAAAAAGGTAGGACTCCAAAGGAGTCCATCTGGTTAGATACCACATTCTTTCCTATTTCTGTCGGCAAATAGCAGTGCTTACAGCGCTGTTCCGGTCTAAAGGGTAAACAAAGCCACTATAATAACAGGCTATGCGGCATTGCACCTTAGTGCTCAGGAATAAGAACGCATGCAACGCAACGCAGTGCAAGTTGGCTACAACTGTCCACGAACCGCAGTAGCCACTTACCATCACGTGGGCTCTAAGTTTGTTTCACTCTTCAGTTTCATAAAAAAAAATTTAATATCATGTTACAAATCAAAAAAACAAACATTTTTATACCGCACATGGATCGATTCTTACAAGATAGAAACAACGTTGAAAAGGACATAGGACATCAAAGAGGGGTTGCAAATAGAAAGGGAAAATATGTAAATTTTAATGCAACTGAAGCCACGGATCAGTTTGTGTGCTCCATCCGACTGATTTTCGCTTCTCTGTTTATTTTTTCTTAGTTCGTAAAGAGGTACTAAAAATTGTCTTTGTTGTGTGATTCTTTTGGGGTTGTCCTTCACAACCTTTTTTTTAATGAATCCAGTTCCCGCCAGCATCAATTAAATTATTCATTACAATGCGTGCTTTTTTTTACATGAAGAGGGTGACAAGTGAGCACACAGTCCACCTGATAGTAAGTTTTTACTGTGGCCCATAGACATCTACATCTATCCTCGTTTGCGAATCAAAATGATGATGCGTTGTCGGCCTTGAGGACTAAGATGGAATTCCTCTTTTCCAGTAAAAAAGGTGTCCGGTTCTCTGCACTCACCATACGAAACACAGCAGCATTAAGCTGCTATTTGATGCTGGTATTCTGTGAGAGCGTGGTCCTACCACGAGCCGACCCGTTCGTGCTACAACTTTACAATTAATATAGCTGCTACATGGCTCTACCACGTAAAAAAAAGTGCTGAAAATAAAGTGCTGATTTACCATGGCACTCGGCTGTGAATGATAACATAAGGAAACTTGCCTGTCTGAGAAATAAAAAAAAATATTTCGGAGTCACGTGAAGTACGCCAATACGCAGTGGTGTCAACGCGGCAGCCATTTCCTTGTGCTAAATCCTCTCAAAAATAAGAAGATATACTGGGTGGTCCAAAAGGTGACGTCTAAAAATTTTTTTGGAATGCTGACCTTTCGGGCTATATGAAAATACCCCATGTATGTTCCGCGATTTTTCTTAGTTTACGAGATATGATTTTTTTTGTATTATTTTGAAAAATGTCGACTTAGCGATTCAAAAATTTTTTTCTTGAAAATTCTGCTCCTTTTTTTACTTTTTTTATTCTTAGCGTAGTCTTCATGAGTTGGACTCTTTGACATAAAAAAATAAGCTGTCTACCATTAATACAAATTGCAAAAATTTTAATCGAAAACAAATTATGCAGATATGATTGAATCAAAGTTTAATTTTGAAATTTAAACTAAAAATTAAATAATGAGTTCCATGACTTTAAAGTAATTTTAAAAACTTCGCAAGACCCTAAGCTTTAATTATAATCTAAAAAAAGTGGTGGTCAATGGGCCTTGTTTAGCCGTAATCAGCCTCTAATTGCACAGAGGCGAAAATTTTCAACATTATTATTTAAACACCTTATTTCTAAAAATAATTAGGTTCGCCATAGAATCTAATCAAATGAAATAAAATAAAATTAAATGTAAATCTTCGGGTTAGGGATAGTACCACTTCAGTAAGTAGCACAGATGGGTCACAAAAAACAACGAATTTCCCCTCAATGTTAATGAGATAATGAATAATAATAGTAATAGGCAGGTAGACGGTTGCAGATCACAAAAAATACCACGTGTCGAACAAAGGAAGCAGGAATGAGAAATACTGTGTCGTGTGTAGCGCGCTCTCTCGCTCTGGCCATAGCTCGCGCGCATAAGGCGACAGGCGTAGCCTCAGTCATAGAGTGCCTCAGTTGTTCACAGCTATCGCTCGCGTAACTACTACTCCAGTTTTTAATTCCTATTTTATTAATCCTAATTTACCACGACTGCTTGCTAACTGGATTCTGTTTCGCCTTATAACTGATTTGACTGTGCTTGTGTTTCGGACTTTGATTGATTACCTTGTGATTTGGATTTTTGTGTTGCAAAATGAATTATTCTTTGAAGGAATATGCAGAAATGCATTATTTTTACGGCGTTACCCAAGGCAACGGCCATTTTGCGGCAAGGCTTTACCGAGAGAAACTAGAACGGCGAGGAGAAGAACGGGAACTTTATCCCGATCACAGAGAGTTCATAAATACACATAATACATTTATGGACGGACGAATTCCGGGACGCAGTTCCCACGAAGGAGTACCCAGAGTGGATCCAGATGTCAGAGATGAAGTCGTGGAACAAGTGCAAAGATATCCTTTTACTAGCACCAGAGCTATTACGAGAACGACTGGTGTACCACGAACCTCAGTTATAAGGATACTTAAGTCAGGTAAGTTCATTTTGTCTTTAAAACTTTTACTTTGACACCGTATTAAAGCGCACCTTTGAATAGCGACGAGCGATCAATTAATTTTAATTACTTATGTCGGGAAAAAACACCTTTCACGGAATAAAAACAGTGATTCCTGGAAGTACAATTTCGTTTTTTTTTTCAGAGAGATACCACGCTTATCATATTCAACGCGTCCAAAAATTGCATCCTGCAGATTATTCAAGACGGGTGACTTTTTGTCGAACAATGCTGGAAAGAACTGCGGAGGATCCAGGATTTTTTGATAAAATTCTGTGGACAGACGAGTCTAGATTTTAAAGAACAGGAATCTTCTATATTCACAATTACCATAGTTGGGCTGTTGAAAACCCACACAAGGCAAGGCCGTCAAATTTTCAAACACATTATAGTGTAAACTTGTGGTCAGGAATTTTGAACGGGGAACTTATACGACCTTTTGAATTGCCTGCTAGGTTAAACGGAGCCCAATATTTAGACTTTTTACAAAACAATTTAAATGGCTTATTAGGCGATGTAAACTTATTGACAAGAAGGGATATGATTTACCGAAATGATGGTGCTCCTTGCCACTATGCAAGAGAGGTACGGGAGCACCTTAATCAAAGATTCCCCAATAGATGGATTGGGCGTTCACCAGATTTGAACCCCATAGATTTCTTTCTCTGGGGATATTACAAAGAGATGGTGTACGCAAGCGAAACAAACACCGAAGCAGAACTGCGAGATAAATTAACGGAGGCGGAAACAAAAATCAGACAAAATTCAAATGCTTTTAGAAGACTGAAACAAAATTTTCTAAGGCGTTGTAGACTGTGTATTGAAGTGGAGGGGGGGGGGGTACTTTGAGAATTGTTTGTAAAATAAAATAAGTATTAAAAAACCAAATTGTTTTATTTATTATGAAAGATTATGACATACCATGAAAATCTAATTATCCTTAGTAATAAACAATAGGTGCATAATAAAACGATTATTTTTGAACTTTTTGGCTCTGTGCAATTAAAGGCCGACTAGGGCTAAAAAAGGCCCATTGACCACCACTTTTTTTGTATTATAACTAAAGCTTAGGGTCTTGCGAAGTTTTTAAAATAACTTTAAAGTCATGGAACTCATTATTTAATTTTAGTTTAAATTTCAACACTTTGATTCAATCATATCTGCACAATTTGTTTTTGATTAAA